TAGAAGCAATTGAGAAGAATGACATCTGGGAATTGATTGATCTTCCAGTTGGTGAAGAGACCATTGGAGTTAAATGGGTTCACAAAACCAAATTGAATGAGAAAGGGGAAGTTGATAAGCATAAAGCACGGTTAGTGGCTAAAGGATACAGAAAAGAGTACGGAGTTGATTATGCCGAGATCTTTGCACCTGAAGCAAGGTATGACACCATCGTTTGGTTGTAGCATTAGTAACACAAAATAATTGGTCCATCTATCAGGTTGATGTAAAATCAGCTTTCTTGCATGGTGAGTTAAATGAACAAGTCTTTATTGTTTAGCCATGAAGGTATATGCAAAAAGGAAAAAGAGCAGAAAGTTTATAAGTTAAAAAAGGCTCTATGTGGATTAAAACAAGCATCCTAGGCCTGTTACAGTCATATAGATGCATATTTTTCAAAGGTGGGCTTCCAAAAATGTCCCTATGAGCACACATTGTTTGTCAAATCTAGAAAATGAGGTAAATTTTTTATTATTTGTTTATATGTAGATGATTTGATATTTACTGGAAATGATAAAGTTATGTTTGCTGAGTTCAAAAGATCTATGATGGATGAATTTGACATGACTGATCTGGGAAAGATGCGATATTTTCTTGGTATTGAGGTAATCTAGTTATCTTCTACGATTTTTATAGGACAAAGGAAGTACGCTCTTGAAATTTTGGACAAGTTTCAGATGAATAGTTGCAATCCAGTTCTAAATCCAATTATTCCAGGTTGTAGACTTACAACAGATGTTGATGGAGTAAGAGTTTATAATACATATTACAAGCAAATTGTTGGCAGCTTAATGTACTTATCAGCCACTCGACCAGACATGATGTATGTGATTAGTCTTATCAGCAGATTCATGGAAGTTCCAACTGAGATACATCTTCAAGCTGTAAAATGGGTGCTTCGATATTTGAAAGCTACAACTGACTTTGGTTTGTTTTAACGAAGGGCTGAAAATGTGAAATTAGTTGGTTTCTGTGATAGTAATTATGCTGGGGATATAAAAGATAGGAAAAATACATCTGGTCATGTTTTTATACTAAGCTCAGGAGCCATTTCATGGTCTTCAAGGAAATAGCAGATAATCACTTTATTCACAACTGAAGCTAAATTTATTGCAGCTGAAAACCCAAGGATAGCTAACCAAGAGGGGGGTAAATTGGTTATATAAACTTTTTCCAAAATTAATTCTAGATTTAAACAAATACAAAAGTAAATGAATCAATTAATCAAATAACCACAAACACGATAACAAGCAAAGAACAATATAAGGATTTGAGTAATAAACAAATGTAAAAACTATAAGTAAAAGGGAATAGGAGCCAAACGATATGTTGTGGAGGTTCGATCCAATACAATGATCTACATCCCTTGTTACCAAGCTCTCCAACATGAGCAAGACATTTTTCACTATATTGATTGACTTATGGTGCAATATAATCTTCTACAAAACTTTTGGTAACTTACAAACAAGAAGCATCAATCATTCACAACGTTGAGCTTTTTAGGACCTCAACACGACCCAACCTATTGAGCTTTACGGGACCTCAATATGACACACATGATGACTTACAACAAGAAGCACCAATCATTACACAATATTGAGTTTTTCGAGATTTCAACACGACCCACACTTTATCAAAGTGATTTTACAATCAAATCATCTCTTGATAAATAATAGAAAACAAATTTAGTACTAAAATAGGCTAACATTTCAATGAATAGTAACAAATGATAGCTCAATTGTTAGATGAAAAATTTTGATGAAAAAAATTAAGGTCAACCAATCAAAGTATTTTAATGAGAAGATGAAGAAAAATTAAATGCAATGTAAATTCAAATAGTCTTCTCAAGAAATATCTCTCTTTTAATGAATGATTATAATAAATCAAGTACTAAGAGAGAAATGAGAAACTTTGACGAATATGATAATTTTACAAATTTGATTCAATCAATCAAAGTTTTCAGTATGAAGAAGTTGAAAAGTTTATACAATATAAGTGTAAAGAACTTTTTCAATAATATATCTCTCTTTGAAAATTGATATAAATGAGTTGAGCATAAAGAGATATAAAAACTTTGATGAATGAAATTATTCAAGAAATTTGATTCAACAATCAAAATTTTTCAATATGAAGAAGTAGAAATATTTATGCAATGTAAGTGCAAATACCTTCTTCAAGAATATACCACTCTTTTAAGAATGATATAAATAAGTTAAACACAAAGAAAGATTGAAAACTTTGATGAGAATGATGATTAATGAGTTTAAATCAATCAAAGTTTTTGATGTGAGGAAACAAATGAAATGAATGCAAATGAAGGCTCAAAAAATTCTTAAAACAAAAATGTCTCACTTTGATTCATTTGAAAAATGTATTTAAGAATGGAAAGAGTGAGGATATTTATAGAGTTCAAAAATGAGAAAAAAATCTGTATTGGCAGAAGACTAGTCCGGTCGACAGCCTCTTGTCCGGAAGATCAATATAACCGTTTATACAGCAAAAATCAGAAGTCAGAACAATCAAATTTTGGACCGTTAGAGAGTGTCCAATTGACCGCCCCGACAGTGCGATGTTTTTACATTTTGACCCCATTTGTTCTGACTTGAAAGTTTTGAAGTGCATGGACCTTTAGAAAATATTTTTAACTAATTTTTCATGATAAAAATATTTTTAAAGTCCAAATATCACTTTTAAAAGTCATTTTTTTATTTGATCAAAACGTTACATTGGATGACTTTTAATGCACAAAAATTATTTTTAATGTATAGAAGGATTTTGTGCTTAACCATTCATTGTCAAATATAAAAGTGTTAGTACCTTTACATTTTGCCTAAGAAATCAAGTCTTAGATCTTCCTCCGAAGTTTCTTCCATGTTTGGCTCTTGAACTTTTGATTTTTATCTTTCTTGTCATTGATCTTCAATACTTGACTTTTCTTGGCGTTTATCTTTTAAGCTCTCGTCTCGAATGATTTGACTTGAATGCATAAGCAACTTCCAATTTGATCTTCATTTAAAGTCCAATATATGTTGCTTGATAGATTTTAACATTGAACAATCATCACTCAAAATAAATTGTTAGAAACAATATCAATCTTATTTGTTATGATCAAAAGATTGAAAATGAAGTCAACCATAGGTCAACAATAGCTACATCTTGTGCTTGTCAAGCAGCTTGGTTAAGAAGAATACTCGAACAACTATATTGCAATCAATCAAGGCCTACATTGATTTACTGTGATAATAGTTCGGCAATTAAGCTTTCCAAAAATCCAGTTATGCATGGAAGAAGCAAACACATAGATGTTAGGTTTCATTTTCTTTGTGACCTTACTAAAGATGGAGTTGTTGAGTTGGTTCATTATCAAAGTGCATATCAGATTGCTGATATATTAACCAAATCATTGAAGCAAGAAGCCTTTGTGAAGTTGCGCGACATACTTGGAGTTTGCTCAATTTATTTTATAAACTGATTACTTGAATGGCTTTCAGCTTAAGAGAGGGTCTTAAATATTTATTCTTTGTTTAACTATTTGTCAATAATCCCTATTTGTTTGGGAAATGGTTACATTTTATCGATTCTTTAGGGATATGGCACTTCTCTAGGTCAATACTTAGTGTTAACAACCACCATCACTAGGGGTGTCAAAAAGGCTTGGTGGCTCGGCTCGGGGCCCGCACGGCTCGTGGCTCGTAGTGATCGAGCCTAGGCTCGGGCCAAGCCTCAAAATAAGAGGTCAGCCCGAGCCCAAGCAAGCCCGTGTGGCTCGTCGAGCCACACGGGCCGGCTCGTGTCACGGGCCAAAAATGGTCCGTGACAATAATGCTCGGCCCGAGAAAATAAAAGAACAAACAAAAAAAAAATTAAAATTTTTTGAACTGCTGCACGGCAACAGGTCACGGGCAGCTATAGCTGCCTTTTTTTCGTATTGGTACACTTACACTATTATCTTTAATCGTATAGATTTTGAAATTCAAATTTGAAAAATAACGCGGGTTTTTTTATCTATAAATACGGGATGATTTTTGAAATTTTAAATCACTTTGCTATCGATTTTAATTCGCATTATTTCTATATTATAGATTCAGATTCAATCATTCAAGTTTCAATTTCTTCTTTCTCACTTCTCATATAACAATTAATATATTCAATTTCTTTCACTCTATAGTCTAATATTCAGTATTTTTTATTATACTAGTTATTATGGATTTTACAAGTGATGAAGTTAATCAGTTTGGCGGTAGCTCGAGTACTCCATCTAACTACGATGCATGTGAAAATGTTCCAATTAATTTGGAGGATATTGAAGATAAAGAAGTTCAAGTACTCGAGACAAAAAGGTCAAAAAAAGAATCATCGGACTGTTGGCAATATATGACACGAAAAAAAATTGGTGTTCAAAATGGAGTAGATATTTGGAAAGCATGTTGAAATTACTGTGGCAAAAAACTTAGTTGGAAGACTGGCTCGAGCACAACGCATTTGAATAGACACGTATTAAGGAGTTGCAAAGCGAAAAAGCTGATCTCGACTCGAAACAAACCGAACTAGTGTTTGGTGGTTCTAATTCTACTCTTTCCACTTTTGTATATTCACAGGAAAGATTTCGTGAAGGAATGGCTGCATACGTGGCTGCAGCAGAGATGCCGCTTACGACGATAGACTTAATACACTTTACTCGACTCGTGCAGAAATATCTCCAACCCATGTATTCTTCTTATTCTAGAAATACTCTTCGTTCGGATAGCATAAAATTATATAACAGAAGAAAACAAATTACTATTGAATGTCTAAAAGGTTTTAATAGTGTTATATCGTTTACTTCTGATTTATGGACTGGTTGTAATAGAAAAGGTTATATTGCTGCTACGGCTTATTATATTGATCACCTGTGACTTCTACATAAAAGAATTATTGCATTCAAATGTGTAGAATTTCCCCATAATGCCACTAACATATACATGGTTTTAAATGATATCATACAGGAATATGGTATACAAGATATGGTTCGAAGTTTTACTTTTGATAATGCTGCAGTAAACAAAGTTGTTATTGAAAGATTTATTGCTGATCTTAACCCCGTATTTGAACATTTATTTTTTCATCAACGTTGTGTATGTCATATTATTAATTTGATTGTAAAAGTTGGATTAGAACATATAAGTTCACCTTTAGATAAAATTAGACAAGCAATAAATTTTATTACTGTGTCACCAGCAAGAAAACAAGCATTTAATAGTTTGTGTGCAGATTATGGATTACAGGAGAAATCATTTGCCACTGATGTAACACATAGGTGGAACTCTACATATCTTATGTTAAATTCGTGTGAAAATTACGATAAAGTGATTTCACTATATTATAATAGTAGGCATACACTCGGACCCGAACATAATTTGGAAGATTGGGAATGGACTATTGCATTTTACGTGAAAAAATTCTTACAACCTTTTTTCGATGCTACAAAGGAATGTAGCGGTGTTTATTACCCTACATCTTCTCTTGTTTTACAATATTTTTTCTACATTTCACAAGCATTTCATAAATATAGGAATTTGCCACTTTTTGCTGATGTAGTCCGCTCTATGGAGTTAAAATTTTGTAAATTCAGTAATGGACTCTCGACTTAATTTAACTGGCATAAAAACTAATGTAAAGGGGATATCAGATTTTTTGAATATAGAATTATCACACGTGCATATAGAATCTTTTTTATGTGAAATGTATAGTTATTATGCTGAAAAGGAAGGTCAGCGTAGTTCTACTTCTCAAAGTTCTTTTTCAAGAAATATTTCAACAAATCCCGAAAATTTATGAAATTATTTAGATAGCAATACAAGTGTTTCTTCATTTAGTTCTAGTTCTAGCTCATCAACATCTAGAGCGATCAATATTGGTGGTACAAATCTTGAAATTCCTTCTGAGTTAGCTAGGTATATATGCGTGGATGTTCGTAGTGTGTTGCAACCGAACGAATTACAAGAATTTAGTCTTTTAAATTGGTGGAGATGTTACGAAAGGCAATATCCAGTTGTATCAAAAATTGCACGTGATCTACTAACACCTCCGGTGTCTACGGTAGCATCGGAGGCTGTATTCAGTTTAGGTGGTCGAATTTTATCAGATGAACGATCAAGACTAATAGAAGATATATTGGAGGCTTTGATATGTTTGAAGGATTGGGAATGTACAGAATTACATGTTCAAGAACATGTTGATAGTATAATGGCCGAAGAGTTGCAGCATATCCAAACATAGGATGTTGTAAGTTTTTAAATTAATTATTTTTCTTTAAGAAATGTATTTTTTAAATTTATTTGATTCAAGAAAATTGTATACGAAATATTTTATTCGTGTACAATTTTAACTCCGCTTACGTTGATTGTAGCCGATCCCAAGCCCGAAAAAAGGAGGAGGGTTGTAATTTGTAACTTTTATTTATTTTGTTATTCGTATAAATTATATAATTTTGAAAGTTGTACTTTTATTTAATTTGTAATTTGTATAAATAATAAATGATGCAATTTTTAAATTCTTTCCAAAAAATGTCATTAAACAATTTCTTTACTTTCTACTAAACAAATTGCACCACAACAATTAGCATGTGGAAAAAATGTGATTAAAAATTGCAAAAAAAAAAATTAAAAAACCGAGCCGGCTCGGCTCATAAAAAGCCCGAGCCAAAAGCTCGAGCCAAGCCTTATTTTTTTGGCCGAGCTTTGGCTCGGCTCGGCTCGAGCCCAAAAAAAGCCCGCTACGATTTATTCGAGCCCGAGCCCAAAATTTCGGCTCGACTCGTTTACATCCCTAACCATCACTATCCACCTTCGCCACCATCCATCACCATTGTCACCTACACCACAACCTCCACCTCCACCTCCACCACCACCACCACCACCACCACCAAGGTCAGATTTAGAGGTGACTAAGCTAGGCTTTTCAGCCTAGTCTCCCAACACATTTCAATTTTTCAAGGGTAATTTATTATTATTACTATGATTATTATTATTAATACAAGAGTAATTTTTATTTTTATTTTACATATTAAATCGACGTAATTTTTTTTATCCGATCGTGAATCTGTCTTTCCACCACCCCTAAATTGCACATCGTCTTTGTAAAACCAGTTCCCTATTCCTGATCTTGACATCATCATCGTCGCTACCATCGAGCCACCCACCACCATCCTTAAACACACATAACAACCATATTGAAGATTTATTTTTTTCTTTATTTTCAGATTCAAATAAGACAAAAATTAAGCCCAAAACTGTTGTTAAAGATGAATGACGAATACACAGTCGAACGCATGATGGAGATGGTGGCAAGATTTGATACTGGAATTTGCTCGTTTGATTTTCCATTGATGGTGATGGATGGAGATTGTGAGACAGTAGGGTAACAATTTTAATCTATAATAGCAATAACACATTGTAACCGATCTTGGAATTTAGTTTTGGGGTCTTGGAAAAAAAAAATAAGGTTAACATAGTAAAATTCATATATTACATAAAAGGCATTATATTTTTATTTATTTCTCGAAGTAGTTTCGATGTAGAGTATTCTTTCACTAGATTGATATACCCTTTGAAAGAACCAAAAACAGTCATGTTTTTCTTGGGAGGTTAACCTTTCACCGGTAAATTCTATATTGCAACAAATAAATAATAATAATAATAATAATAATAATAATAATAATAATAACAACAACAACAACACTCCAACACAAAGTCAAAAATCCAAGAAAAAGCTAGCAAGACAACAACATACAACAATAAGATGACAAAGCGACAAAGATTCATGTTATCGGATGATAAGCTGACAAGGCAATAACAATTCAATAATTTTTACCAGAGCAGACCTATCTGAATCCGTAATGTGGAGAGATGTGAATTCGCTGCTTTAGGGCTACTACTATTCGTTTTAAAGATTCAGCAAATATAACAATTTCGATCAACAACAAATGCATATTGAAGTCAGGGGTGATCATTAGGTTTGGGAGTTATCATTGCTTGGCAACCATTGCTTGTGCTAGAAATTAGGATTACGTGCTCTTAATTGTTTGATTGAGTATCTGGCTTTAATTTAAATCAGTATTTAATTCTTAGTGATATAATTGCCGTGAAATTGATTATCTGTTAGATGTAATTTTCTGTTACATTGTTATTTCCGTTGCATATTAATTTCGTTAGAATTATCATGACTTAACCCGTTTCGAACATTCCCCTGATCTAAGACCGCGAGTCTTATGAAACCTTGAGAATATAGAACGACGTACATTGTATGTGACCTCAGGACTATTTTGTGTGGTTTGTTTGTGTTTTGTGCACTCTTTGATATGACAACTCACAACTTTGATTTGGAGATTTTTAATGGAAATGGTGGCTTTTCTATTTGACAACAAAAAATAAAGGGTATTTTAGTCCAATAAAAAGTTTCAAAAGCCATTGAAGGCAATTTTTCAACTGATTTTTCAAAAGAACAAAGAAAAGAAGCCAATAAGTTTGCCTGCACCAGAAGCCAATAAGCTTGCTTGCACCTCAATCATTTTACACTTGTCTGACGTCGTTTTAAGAAAGGTGGGTAAACTGAAAATCACCAAAGAATTTTGGGAAAAAAATGGAAGACTTGTATTTGCTTAAATCTACACCGAATAAACTTTACTTGCTTGAATGGTTTTTCAACTTTAAAATGGATCCTTCAAAGGATCTCGATGACAATTTAGACTTGTTTAACAAGTTGGTGCAAGATATAGTTAATTGTGATGAGACTGTGTCTTGAATGAGTATGTGGTTGTATATTCTGATAGTCAGTCGTTCATACATTTATGTAAGAACCCTATTTTTCACGAACGCACTAAACACATTGATGTTAGATTATACTTTATTAGAGATATAGTATCTCAAGAGGTGGTAAGACTTGAAATCCCACATCTGGTGGGAATAGATATTTTCTATCTATTATCGATGACTAAACTAGGAAAGTGTGTGTCTATCTATTGAAAGATAAATCTGAGACTTTTATCTCCACCTTGGTGTCAAAGGACCTACAGAAAGAAACGTCTTTCATTAGTGACACCTCTAATAGAAAAACGATAAAATTGAAAATCATTTACCTGTACCAATGTTTAGAAGATCCTTGCAACTTCTAAACTTTACCAGTGGTAGGACTTTTGTGCCCATATCTGAAGGGTTGTATTGTGTGTAAACCTTTTTAAGTCTTACCACCTCTTAAGATATTATATCTCTAATAAAGTGTAATCTAACATCAATGTGTTTAGTGCGTTCATGAAAAACAAGGTTCTTACATAAATGTATGGACGACTAACTATCAGAATACACAAAACACGTGTCAAATTTTACGTTTATGTCACCAATTCCAGTAATAGTATAGGCAAAGTTATCACACAATACAACATGCCCAACAATTTTCATATAAAATTGTTATTAATACATAATAGAAATTAGCTAATAAATAAATAGTGTTGGCAAACATAGCATTAAATGTGTACCCCCAGTAGATTATGAAGCAAACAAGCACCAGAGTCTAGAAATGAGCATTCGAGCATCCATTTTTTATGCAAGAAATCATGAATCAATATACTACTTACTCCAATTAAAGCAACAAGCAATAAGCAAGAAATTAGGATTTCACTTTTAAATTGGGACAATGTAAATTACACTTAGAGAATATAAAGAAAGAAAATTCAACAACTTAATAGTAATAAATTTCCAAATATAAAAATTAGGTATTATTCTTTCATTCTTATACATTTCTCTAGGAAGCCAAATGGAGAAATTTAAGCAAAGGAACTTAAAGATCAAAGTTGTTGCAATATAACATCAATGTAGTGCATATTATATTCACATAACGTAAATTATACATTCACGAATTCGAATCAAAGTTTCGACTTACTCAATCTCGATTTGAGGTGATACATATTAATTACCGAACCTGATTCCGAACGCATAATATGGATTCATCCATTTCCATTCTTGAATTTCAACCTTACATGAAATCAAAGAATATTAGTTAATTTCCGAAATTAAATATGATGAAAGAAATCAGAATAAGGAAATTGGATGAAAGTGATGCGATTGGTCGAGGCAAGTGTTTGAAACTCTTTCCTTAAGATGAATTTGCCTCATATCGGTGCTAACAATTTCGTGGCAATCATCTCCCAAAATACATCGAACACATCAAGCCATAGGAGCACTCCAAATAACTTCGACCAACGAACTCGAACGAAATTCCCTCTCTACCATAATCATGATTTGGATGCAAGATATAATCATTTCTACAAAATATTTGATGCAACATGACATGAAATGAATAATATGAAATTTCAAATGAACATCCAATGGGTCTTATATATAGAAGTTGAAAGGATGTGGGTGAAGGGACACATCCCAAATTCAGCATTTTCCATGAAAAGTTGCAAACTTTATTTCAAATTTGCATCCTTTTGAAAAGTTGCAACACTTCATTCTTCCAAATTTGGACCGCAATTTCTCATTCATCCGGAATTGGCTTCGAGATTTCAAATATATTGTTCGTGTGATACCCGCAAGCATATGAGATCGTTGACAAGTAATAATAAGTGAGTTAAGAATTATCGTCCCACAAAGAATAAATTTAATTCAAGTTTACTAGTTTCGTATGGAATTCTAGTTATGAAAACAAAATAACTATTTTGATTTGATTTAAACTAAGCTAATCTAAAAAAGCAATAAAAATTTGGGTTTTATCAAATTATGGAGGATTGTATTAAATTTTGACTCCGCCTATTGCTATTTATTTCAATTCTTGATTCGTAATCTAATTTATTTCACGAGTTCTTGACAATCGATAACACTGATATGTTAAATGTTCTTTTCCAAGATACACCAACCTATGATTAACACGACCCGATCCTATTCCTAATCCGAATTCATATGAAAATCATGCATTTAGTTTAAGTTATCAATATGATTGCATGTATGATAGATATTATTCCTAATCCTAACTAAACATGTTAATTTTGCCGTGTTCTAGATTCATTATGAGTATTCCTACACTACAACAAGCAACTAATTATTCAATTGATGGCTAAACAATTCAATAGTGCAATGGGAATGCAAAATTAATTAAGTGACACACGAATTAAACTAAATACTTGTCTTGAATTAAAATAAATAAATAATAGGGTTCATCTCATCCAATACAATGAAAAACTAGCCTAGCATATTAATATATAAATTATAAGAAGAATAATAAAA